TTTTTTCGTTCTAACCGAGGACTGAATGAAAAAAAAATGACGCCATTCCTCCCAACACAAACAGCATGTCGATTTGAGGAATTGCCGATGTTTGCATTGTATTCTGAAAGTTGCCGATTTCACGTCTTAGAACACCCGATCAGAGCGGGCAGCTCATTGGCTGCCGGCTCTGATCGCATGAAGATTTTTCCAGCCGGTTCCTTCAGTCAGCTGATCGAGGTATGCTGCCTGAAACGGAGCTGACAGCCCCACACACTCTGTGAATTTCGGCAGGTACATTAAAAGCCTTCCGAAATTCATCCAGTGTATGGACACCTTTTTAGACATGAAAATATATGTGGGCAGTGGAAGCCTACTTGTTTGTAGAAGGATCATTCAGAATCCTGATTTCCATATCTGTGGCTAACATAAGCTGTAATTGGGGCAAATAAATCCTGGATAGAACTAAGCTGAGGGACCATAGCAAGCTGATGCACATTTATAGCTAAGCCTAATGTTTCTGACCCTTTTACAAGCCCTTGCTCTCTGGCTCACTTATGTGCCTCCTGGCTCTCAGAATGTTCTCAATGACTTGACAGAGAACCAGGCCACTCTTAAACTTGTTGCAAAGTATGTTTTTATGAGTTGATAAGGATTTAGGCCCACCTAAAGGAACAACCCCATACATGCCTATGCGGACCCGAACCGCCTGCTGCCCCAAATGCTCCCTGAGCTACTTTTTTTCATTGCACTGATCAGCACGGTTTCCATATAGATTTCAATCGCACTTTTATTGCGTTTCAGCTTCCACCCTGGGGTGAATGGTAGATTGTTTCAAGTGGAGATCTGATGAGCTGAAGGCGGCTTCCAATTTATCTACTTTTTATGTTTCTGAAAGATTGCTGCCACTGACTCCAAAACTCAAGATGAGTTTGGCCACCATTGGGGAAAAAAAATAAACTCTTCCCTTTTTTATTAGAAGCAGGCAATACACTTGTTTGATCTGGCTTTGCACTTGTAAGATCTGGAAGCCTGAAACAGCTGGGCAACGTAGAGCAAATTAGTAATAAATTACTGATAACCATATATAATCCATATATAACTTCCCAATTTTAGAGTACATTCTCTCTATGATTTGCAGTGTGAAATAACTCTCTTAATGGGTTGCTGATGCTTTGCATTGCAATAAGAAATAGGGAGGCAGTGTGCTTCCTCCTTGGAGTTTTTGGAAAATTGAACGCTGAGGCTTTCATTTTTTAGAGCCGCTAGACGTGTCCTGCAGCATTTGGCTTATTAAATGAAAGGAGCGAATAGATATTTGGCAGACCCTAGCCTACCTTTCAAAGGTAAGCTTTCCTATGTCAAACAACTTTAGGCTTTTTATACTTCTGGGAAGGAAAAAAACACAAAATATGGGCTATTTTTAAAATTGAAAGCAGATATGCCCCATCGGTGAATGCACCTGGTTGCTTTTGTGGCCGTCTTCTACACCAAGTGTAAGTACAGGACATACTGTATACAGAATGAAAAACTGTCTTCATGATCCACGATCACATAGCAGGTATAGGTGACTTGTGCCACTTTACCATTTGATCTTTTTGTCCTTTCTTTCCCCCCTTATATCAGTAGAATTCCTGGCAGAGATGCGTGATACATAATGAATAATTTCATGTATTCTCTCCCTTTTACCCAGCTCTGATCCTACTCTTTTACCTGGTGTTCTATGGCTTCCTGGCCGGACTCTTCACCCTGACTATGTGGGTGATGCTGCAGACACTGGACGACTCTGTTCCTAAATATCGTGATCGGGTTTCCTCTCCAGGTAAGGTTGTCATGTCACACTGACATTCTACATCTGTATGTTTGTTTTTATATTCATGGGATGTGTTTAATGAAAGTGTATTTAGATCAGGGGTAACAAATTGATATGGGGTTCATGAGTTATTCTGTCCAATCCAGGACCCAGCAATATTTTTTTTTAGAAGCCAGCTCCATTGGCAACAACTAGAGAACACCTCAAAAGTAAGACGCCAGCTGCAATTCTTTAGGAGCCTTGGCTACCTGGCTCCTGGGATTTGTCCAGCCCTGGGTTAGATCTCATAGACTTTGGCTATTCAGAACATGTAGTGTAATGGGTACAAATAACTCCTAGAACCTTGGCTTAGCAGCAGACGGATGATTAGCTGAGTTGGAAATTGTTGGTTTTCGGCTTAATGTGCATTATTGGCCATTAAGCGATAAGTGAAGTGTTTGTAGAACAGAATCATGTGTATACATGTCATCGCCAGTGACTGATGGCTATCTAATGTACGCTGTAAAGTGTAAAATGTTGGTACTGTATAAACACTGAATATGCAAGTACCTCCATGAAGAGCATGATGGCTTACTCTGTATTACAGAACACTGTTCAGGAATTGTGTGAAGCCTTTTGGAATATAAGATCTTTTCCTTTCATTAATCTGCACTGTGACCTATAGCAAAAAAAGACTTTACATAATTCTGCCTGTCCAATTGAGTGAAACGCTTGCCTTCTGGTCCAAAATCCAGTCATATGGCCAAAATAAACACCTATGATACATATACGTTTACTGAGTAGTTCTTTAAAATTAAAAGTATAAGCTGAAGAGCACAAAAGCCTTTGTGTTGGTCAGGTCATGGGGTAATACTTGCACATCTTTCCGGGTTGACAACTAGACCCATCGAATATAATTGACTTAGTCGATTGACTTAGTCGATTAGTTGTTGCAGCCCTATTGCCATCTAACATCCCACCTCTTGAGATTATTTCGTACCCTTTTACATTGTAGCCAATATTCCTTTCATTGGTTATTGGAACTGTTTGGGGGAGAGGCAACCCTGGTTAATTTACCTGGTTGGAACAGAATATGGCTGCTCTATGTGCATAACCTTCTGTCTGTATAGTCTTTATACAGGGGGCTTTTACTCATACAAACTAAGATTTTAGCTGTCATTTTTCGGGCTCTGGGTAGACCGTAGAAGCTGACTCTTGATCTGTTAGCTGCTGTATTTTCTGTTACTGTAGTGATCTAGAAAAGGTTGCACCATTTATCATAAAGCAAAGCCACACTGACCGAAGATCTTATGTTATGAGATGGATGGAGGAATGCTTGCTTTAGCTGCATGGCTGAGCTTACTGGGAGGCTTTACCTTTTTTTTTTTTTTTCAAGCCAATAATGGACCATTCTAATGTTCTTAACCTGTTATGTAAACTGTTTTTCTCTCCACAGTGCTGAGCTCTCCCTTGTAGAACCCATGGATTTGAGCTACTCAGTACACTTATAACTGCGTATTAGTTCCATGCAGGTTGTTGTATGTGCAGACCAGTTAGATCACCATCTGTTTTTAATGATCTGAAAGGGGTTTGATTGATCTTGGGACATTTATCAATGTAGCGCTGATCACTTTAACTTAACATTTACTGCCATTAATCTGAGCAACCTGTAAATCTACCAACATTAGGGAATAAAACAAGATCCTTCTAGAAGGTAAAAATGAAATATAAAAATTAGGGCTGTGGAAATTAAAGAATAATTTCTCGATTAATCGTTAAACTTTTTGATCGATTAAAATTATTTTGATCACTAATGAAAACACTCACCTCTCCGCCTGCTTCCGGGAGTCCCGTCGGCGATCCGGTGACGTCATGGACATCGACGTCACCGGACTCCTCCCCCCTTCGTTAGCCAACGGAGCCACTTGGGCCGATGAGTTTGCCCAAGAAACTTGTTTTGCACGAGCGCCAGCGAAGGCATTGGCCTATACACATACAGCACAGCAATGAAGTAATAAAATGAACTAGGATCACACTAATCCAGCACGTTATTATTCTGAGTTGCTCCACTCAAGCGGCGGCCATATTGAGTGGGGCACGTGAGTTTAATAACGTGCTGGATTAGTGTGATCTTAGTTCATTTTATTACTTCATTGCTGTGCTGTATGTGTATAGGCCAATGCAGTTGGATCTGTATGTGCGTTATAATTAATCGATTAAAGAAAAATTCCAATCGAACACGAACATTTTAATCATTACCAGCCCTAATAAAAATTTAGAGATTTTATTATTTTTCCAGTAGGCTACTGGAGCTTCTTTTGTAGATGTTTCTCAATTGGACAGACATATAATTATGCCAAATGTAAGAGTAGGAAGTGGAAAGCACAGAGAATTTTACATACATATAAGTATGACAGTGTAGGCTGGAGGATGTTGTTCTACCCAGAATAATAATGTCCTTGCACTTAAAGGGAACCTGTCTTGAGAGAAATATGTGGGATTCCATTGTTTAGCCTTAAAGGTTAGTTCCCTGGCAATGCTTTGGCATCAATATTTTGAGGGACTGACTTTGAACTTTGATTTTGAGGGACTGACTTTGATAGAAAAAGGGAAATGTGACACTTTTTTTTTATCTCCCTTTCGTGTGCTGCATTCTTGTTCCAGGTCTGTGACTGAGACTTGTTGAAGGCAGACAAAGCCAGGCAACAAAAATGAGGCAGAAAAATGGCAGCATCCACATTTCTCTTGCATCAGGTGTTCTTTAAGCTGACCTTGCTTGAAGGTGGACAACATGGAGCAGAAATTGCAGGAACAGGGCTATCCCTGAGGAGTGACTCCCTTCCGTCACCAAATCTGGCCATACATGGCTTGAATGTTGGCTAAATCCTGTGGATTGGTGAAAGTTCAAGCTGTGGGTGGCCCTGCTGACACCGGCTCAACAAACTTCGATTGAAAAATCAAAGGAGCTGGGCAGAAAAAAGCTGGCCGAACAGTGGTGGCAGCCAATATGCTGTCATTGCTGTGGTATTCTGACAGATGCATTGATTAATGTCCCTTGTGTGTTCTTTCATTATCAGTTCTTTAATACAAGTAATGTGTGTATTTATATATGATATAATCTGGCCTACGCATAATGAAAGACTTTCTGAATCTCACAGGGAATTACTCATGTTCTGTCCTTCTGCTACTTTGGTTCACCATCCCCTTCCTTGGCTCTCTTTCCCCATTCCTGCTCTTCTCCTTCACTTATTGAAATACTCCCCCTCTGCCTTCCTATCTCGGCTACAGCAACCAAAGCTCAGGACAATTACATTTTACAAGCTAAAACTAATTTTCTTCAGCCCTATAAAACAAACGTATTTTATAAAGAAACAATAACCTCTTTTTGGAAATAATATGGCAGGGATTCCTCCAGTTTTCACAGCACATTTTCAGAGATCTGGGTCTCCTGTAAGCCCATTCAGCTCCTCTGCTTTAATTATCCCCACAGGTTGTGTATACATGAATGATCAACCATCAGAATTGCCATATCTTTATCTGGACATAGAAATGCTATAAAGCCCAAATGCCATAACGCAGTTTAATATTTTTGGGAGAGGTTATACTATATCCTCTCTCTGGGATAATGGGTATAGGAGCCCATATTGAAAACTAAAGGAACTGGGAAGAAAAAAAGCTGGCCAAACAGTGGTGCCAGGTAGTACAACCGCCTCACACCCCACTGTGCTCGTAGAACTGAATGAAATGTCACTTGTGACATTTCAATAAAGTTCTAAAATAAAGAATACATCGCTTTATTTGCCAGGATTGGCACATCAGCACTGTGTCCGGTATCGCACACCAGCTGGTGTGAATGGGCCCCAAGGGATTCAGTGTTAAGCCCTTCCTGTCAGCAGTTTATGTTAATATGTTGTTTATGAACATCCAACCTTTAACTTCTAGCAGCCAACAATTTACACAGTTGCCAGTTGTCAAAAAAGCAGCTGTCACCGACCGCTTCGGTCCCCAGCAATATCTGGGAACCAATCCCAGTAGTTCCTGATCATGTGACCACTATGATGGCAATGATATAGTGAACATATGCAAGATGAAGGCTTCATTCAGACATAAATCAGTTGCGGGGAGGCGCAATCCACACCCTCGGGTATATGTTGGCAGTTACGGCGGGGAGCATTCCCTGCCTCTTTGAGACCATGATTGGGTTGGGGGGTGGCAGTCAGTTTTGAGCGGGTTTGGGCTCTACTCTGCATACATTGAACATTTGGTCCCATGAATTTGGAAGGAAACAGATTTAGGAGCATTTGATTGGTACACAGGTGGCCATAATTCATAAGTACCATAGAGCCCTGTGCATCTGTAAATTATAATGTCTACTGGCTTGCTCACTGCAAGGAAAGTCGGCAACCAGCAGCAATACATGATCTGAGAAAAGGGAAAGAAACAGAGCTGTATGGCATCCTATCTTCTCATATGTAACCAACCATGGGGCTCCATCCTGACCTAGTGTGACCATGTGTGTGATGTTTAATGCCATGTACTTGATGTGTTCTTTCCCTTCACTGATCTGTAAACCCTTCAGGTTGAATAAATTGCATTACCCTGTAAGAGATGAAAACCAGGATTTGTCTTTTAAAAATAGATAGGCCAGCTGATGGCTCGGCCGTAATCTCTGAAATCCACGTGATTGAGTTTATAAACTTCCGCTTATGCAAAAAAAAGCTTTTCATACTGAAATTGGACATTAGACTGTCAGTGTGCCGGCCTGAGACACACAGAGCTTTGTGAGCTCGTTTCTCCTGTCTCCCCGGGGGCTCCACCTCTCGCTGGCACCATCACCGATTGCACGCAACTTGTGTACAACTCGTTTTCAAATGTTTTCCTTTCCCATGTCTATCCTTTTGTTTATGTCTAATTGTCACCACTCATTGCAAATTCTGTTTTAATAAACCATGATTTTATTCCCTTGGTAGAAATTGCTCGGACTCTCTTCTGGATTGTTTTACTTTTCCAATGAGAATAAATGTCTATGAATTGGGAGATGGGTTTAATCTAATCATGGTGTGATCACACTTCATTTATTGAAGGTCTTGTTTGTTTGCCAGCAGAATTCTCATTTTGTTTCCTCTTTAACTCTAGGTCTTATGATATCCCCTAAATCAGCTGGATTGGAAATCACCTTCAGTAAAAGTGACAAGAATTCGTATGACAGCTATGTGGGAGCTCTTCATAGTTTTCTAACACGTAAGTGGAGTCTTACCGTTCTACACGAGAGGTCTTACTAATTTTATAGGCTGCCTAATTGGACTGGACATTTTAGGGTTTATAGAGGCTGCTGGCCAGCCATTCTGTAATGACAGGTGCCACTTAGAATAAAATTATAGTACATAGGCTGGTTCTTCAATACTTCAGACCTGAAATAAGCATGGAGCAAATTAACCCCCCCCCCCCTCCCCAAAGAAGAAAAAGTTATGCTCTGGCAGTGATCTGGCCAATAAATAGCTTAATAAGTTTGCCTGGATGTCGTATAAGGCAAACATAATAACAGTATTTGGTTCCTTCTAAATAAGTGCTTCCCAATTATATTATCAGTATCTGTTCTTCATTACTATAGGAGAAATGAAACTTGGTGGTCCCTTTTTTTTTCCAGCAGCCAGTTAACATCTGATTGATAGATAACTGTGTATTTGTGACTGGCGGCTCTCTCTCCTTAACCGCTTGGCCATCCTGAAGTGACAGCTCGCTCCTCCGCAAAAACCCCCCCCAGCATCGGCACTTCTTCTCATGTGCAGCTCTGTGGCTGAGCAGTTCAGGAAGGAGAGCAGAGGATCGTTGGATATGTGTAATATTTAGTGATCCGATCCTTCTGTGTGCAGAGCAAACACCTGGAGTGATCAGCTGATGTGTCCCCCGGGTATGAAGGAACAGTAAGTGCTTTACATCACTTCCTGTTCATTCATGAATTTCTGAACGGGTAGTAGCACTCAGTACAGAGGCTCCTCCCCATTCATAACTGGATGATAGTAAATATTTTACTATCGCCAGTTTGTGAATGAATGGGAAGGCTCTGTACTGAGTGCTTCCCATTCATTTAGAACAGAGACTGCAGATAAAGAGATATGAGGACTGTGTCCGTAATTTCTATTTCAAAAGGGAAATGTCAGGGGTCTGTTTGGACCCCTGATATTTCCCCGAAGCCCCCCCTACTCCCCCAACACACACACATTATTAGACATGTGGAAAGCCTAAAAATGTGTTTCGGACGAAAATTAAAGTTTCCTCCAAACAAAAAAATTTTTACGCTATTTTGGATTCTGGCACCAGTGCGTTCTGCGCCACCATCATGTAGCCCACATGCACGTCATCGCTAATCTCACATGCCTGTTGAGGGGGCACAACTTTCTCGTCTCGCCTCGGGTGCAAAAGGAGTTAGCTATGGGTACTGTGGCTGCTGAATACAAGAGCTGACAGTTGAGATTCCTCCATCCATGCTATTCAGTGTGGATGGGGCATTCAGTTGATTTTATTCTTGCTCAGCCCCTGGGCTAGCTTTAAACAAGGAACCAGTGGCTAATAAAACCTACACAGTCAGGTCATCAAAGAATGAGAATAGTTCCTGCATTAAACTTCATGTGCAGGAATGATGACTTCCCTCAGATGGTAGCACCGCCTGCATCACCTTCCACCAATGCTGAGGAACAGACTAGGCACGATGGGATTTGGATAATACAGGGGTAGACAAATTTATTTTGGAATTCAGGAGCCAGTCCGTCCAATCCAGGTGCAAGCAGGATTTTTTTAGGTGCCATCTCCATAGACAACAACTAGAGAAAACCTCAAAAGTTAAGTGCTGGCTGTAAATTTAAGGAAGCATTGGCGACCTACCTGGCTCCTGACATTCGTCCAACCCTGGTAGAATAAAGAAATGCAACACACGTGTGTACATGAGTGCAATGTTTTTATTTTTAATTTGCAAAGTGTTTTATGTTTTAAAAAAACAAAATTCTGCTCTTCGTTTGCTGCCGGTCATATTCCATCTTTTCTGGTATTCTGCAGAATGTGCAGACTTTACAGCGTCAGTGCTGTGAGCATTGCTTTCTACAGAGTGCTGGAGGAGCTGAAGCTGGTTATTAAGATTTCACAAGGCTTTTGCTGTGTTTATGGTGATGCTGCCCAGCCATGAAATGGTTACATGTGCCTTTCTTAGACATGCTGTGATCAGAAGGTCACTTGTTCACTTCCCAGCAGGGCTGAAATGACCTTCTGTCCCGTAGAAGTGAGGCAGAAAAATATCTGCAAAGATTGCTGTTTCCAGCATTTTACCTCTCATACTGATAGCAACATGTTTCTTTGTGTTTACGAATGTTCTTAAATGGACAAACGTCCACTCGTTCCACCTTTCTCTATTGTTTCCTTCATGTTTTCCAGCATTCAACGACAGCCTACAAGCCTCAAATGTGCAGTGCCCGCCAGGCCGCTATTTTGAGCAGGAAGGGGAGGACAAAAAGCTGTCCTGCCAGTTTAACAGGTCCTCCCTGGGCCCCTGCGCCGGGCTGGAAGGAAATGAGTTCTTCGGGTACAATGAAGGGAGCCCCTGCGTGATTGTCAAGATGAACAGGGTATGCCATGAGTCCATTGTCTATGTACTGCCTGCAGAGAGTTCAGCCAACCTTGCGAATGTTGGGATTGACCAAAGTAGTATGAGGCTCCTATTCATGGACCAATTATTGCAATTGAGCATCTTTAGGACGGCAGAACTATTTTATGAGTCTGTAAAAGCGGCGCTAGATATTCATGCTTCTAGAATCCCATATAAGTCAGTCATTCCTTTCTTTAGGGTGTTAAATGTTCTCGGTAGGACTGCCGACACACTAAACAAAGAACTCCCAGTCTAGGAGAAGGAGTCTCCAGTAAAACCACAGACGGGGGTAACACTGCCACCAGTAAAGTTCAGTATGGTATTTTATTTATAAAGATCAACAGAAGAAAATAGTCAATGCGTTTCGGTGGTCCACAGCATCCCCCTTCATTAGGGATTGTGAATAGCTTTGTAACTTGGTTCTTTCAGTGTTTGAAGGAAATGATACATAACAATAGTTAGGGGTTAGAGTAAAGGAACGCTCATCGGTCCAGCGACCCATTTTAAGTACTATCAATAATATGATTGGTCACTATGTCGCCCAGAAGAAGGGACCCTGCGTGGCCCCGAAACGTTGGCTGTTTGACGCATGAATAAAAAGTGCTTTACTTCTTGCACACCATCGAGTGCTGGTGACTTCTATCATGGACCATTTTAAGTACAGTCGTGCAAGGCCTGAAATTCTGAGTATAGCTGGGGAAAGCTGAAGCCTGTATGCTGCTTCATAACTTGAGATAGGATTGTGACAGTGATCTAAACTGTACCAGCGTTGCATTCCATCTGTATAGTGTTGTGCCATCTATATTTTGGTACAAATTAATTGATTAGAAACTATTTAAACAGAACAGCGTTTCTTGGACAAACCAGCCTTCAACCTGACATTGCCTGTGGGAAACCTTAATGGGGGACACCTGTTCTGGGGACAGCTGTCTAAAAGGGTATTTCCTTCACTTCCTGTTATGTTTTTGGGACAGGAGGCGAAGGGAGATCTTGTGAGCAGAACAGACCGGAAAAAACTTCTACAAATCCAAACCTATAAAAAAATGTTATTTTTTTTTGCATTACATTTTTATGGAGCCTGTGACCTAACTGCTTTCATGCTTTGGTCAAAATATTAGGGAGCAGCCCATCCACCCCCCCCCCCCCCCCCCCCATCCTTTTTCTGCTGCGTTAACCACATTCATTTTGGATTTCCATTTATGTATATGTGTGATTGCTATACTGCTCTCTGGCTGGTTTTCTGTGTGTCTTATGTCTGTCTTTTTTTTGTTTTTTTTCATAGATAATTGGACTAAAACCACAAGGAAATCCTAAAATAAACTGTACTTCTAGGGTAAGTAACAGAATTGATTATCCAGCAAATCATGAAAAGCTGCAGCATCGCTGTGGCAGTTGAAGATCATAACCCAAAAGTGACATTTCGGTGACAGGTTGATGACGGAGGGCTGAATCACCCACCGTCTTCATCCTGAGAGGTTCCAATCTTCCATTTAAAGGGACAACCTGGCCGGTGGCTTTGTGTGGTCGGAAGAGACCTTTGATAAATAAGGCTGTGGGTGATCAGATGACATTGTGGGGCTGATCCTTTTCTTGCAAGAGTATGTGGAGAATTCCCACAATGCCACAGAACCCTGCTGGGGTGCAGAGAACACAGCGGGGTCTGTTCCTGTGTAACAGGCTGTAAGCCAGCACCTTTACCCCCTGTCACACAGTCACACCCTTACTCATTGCCCCACGTGTTTTGTTTTTCTTCAGGCAGCTGTAGCTGCGCTTGATTAACTCAGTTTGTGAGAGCAGCTGAATACACAAATCCACAATTGTCCTCACGAGCTATGGAACAAATGTTCATAAATCTTGTCCCCTGTATTGCCTCTACTGTGGGGTGATGCTTCATGCTTTGTGGGGTGTAAGTTCTAGTCCCACCAACATAGTATCGCTTTGCTTATTGTTCATAAAGGTGCAACCGTTTTCTGGGAACAATGATCTTATTAATGTTTCAGAAGAAGATGTTTTGGCAGACAGTCCTAATAATTTGCATTACACTAACCAATAGCAACCAGTAAGAATGTATTTTCTTGTACTGGTCTGGTAAATTCTTATTAGCTCCGTCCTGTTGAAGGGCAAGTGATGGAAGCACCAGTGAGGGGAACATGTACCCCTCAGTAGGTAGAGGGGAGCAAGTCCTCAGACACTGTCACTTGCCCAATATAAGAATAGTGACCGTGTCTCTTTTCTCTTCAGCTTATAAATGTTATTGGAATTTTTGATTTAAGAAGCTGTCTCTAACCTTTGCAGGCAGAAAACGTCAGCCTGCAGTATTACCCCGAATACGGGAAGATAGACTTGATGTATTTTCCGTATTATGGAAAGAAAATCCATGTAAGTGACAAGATGGTTAAATGATTATTTGGTCTTGTTAACACTTGAAGGTTTAACTTTACAGCGGAACGCCAGCTTTTCTTTTCTTTTTTAATCATCTTCTTTTGCTTCTTTCCTATGTACATTGCCATGATATCTGAAAGGTTGTGATGCAGGGAAATTTGATGTCATAGTGAGGGAAGGAATATCGGCTTCCCCAAAAAACACAAGTTTATGAAAACTGAACAGTAACACAAGTGCAAAAGATTCTAAAGCTGGCCATACACTGAGCCCTTGTATGAAAGCTGGTGTGTGCCACTGTTGGCATGTCCAATCAGTGACTGAAGCTGATTGGCCGCAGTAACCGGCCACATTTTTCACTGGGCTCCTTCGATTTTGAGATCAAAAAATGTTGGGCAAATAGGCTGCCAACAGGGCTACCCAATGAGCAATTTTCAGCTGCAGCAGTCTTACCTTTGACACAGTTTCAGCTGACTTCTCTGCATTGTGAGTTTGCACACTAAGTCCCTATGCATTTCAGTGGTGAGAGCTATACTCATTGAGACAACCATTGAAAGCCACTATGAGTACAGCTACCTATAGGAATCAGTGGGGGCATTGGGGATTTATTAAAGGACAATTTTACTAAAGGTAGAATTGTCATTTAAATTGAATCTTTGGCCAAAGTAAGGAATGGTTTAGACCCCATCTGGAGATTTCAGTTTATGCTTTAGAGAAGCGATGAGTAGAAAGGTGGCGACATATACCCTTTGTTATCACAACATGAGGCGTCTCCATTGGAAGATTTCTTGCATGGCAACTGTAGCATATAGCATTTTCCATCACGTTCTTCCAAAGTGACCATGATCACCAAGATAATGGGGGTAAGGTAGGGGCGGGTGGATCCTAGTGCTTGATGGTGGACCACTTCCAGTAATGGGGCAGATGGATTTTATGATCACCATGGCTCTTAATG